TATAACTATCATCGTCCTAGATGCAGAGGAGTGTGTTTTTTATTGGCTGAAGATAATGCTACAGGAGAAAATTTAGAAGATTTCAATATTATATTTTATACATGTCTAGAGTATTTAAAGTTAATCATCTGTGTTTTAATATCCATAGTATGTGTTCTTCCCCATGTGTATCTTTAATGTTCCTCTGTCTCTAAAGATCTCATAATACACTTTCCAGAATATTTTAAAGGCCTCATTAAACTTATTAAGTATTCGATCTTGAAGGTTTATAAAAATAGGCAATTTTTTTTTAACTTAGAGAAAGAGAGAACCCCAAGAAGGCTCCTTGATGTCAGCACAGAGCCCAATGTGGGGATGGATCTCACTAACCATGAGATCATGACCTGAGCTGAAGTCAACCTCAGATGCACTCTGTCTCAAATTAGGCAATTAAAAAAAACAAAAACAAAAAAAAATTTTTTTAAATGTTTTTTATTTATTTCTAGGAGAGAGAGAGAGAGAGAGAGACAGCGTGAACAGGGGAGGGTCAGAGAGAGAGGGAGTCACAGACCGAAACAGGCTCTAGGCTCTGAGCTGGCAGTCAGCACAGAGCCCGACGCGGGGCTCGAACCCACGAACCGCGAGGTCATGACCTAAGCGAAAGTCGGACGCTTAACCGACTAAGCCACCCAGGCGCCCCACAAAAAGCTTCTTAATTCTAAAACCAACTGAAGAGATTTTTTAATAAATACTTATTTCTGGGACCAATTCAAACCAATTAAATTAAAATGTCTGGAAGTGAGGCCCAGGTATCAGTATTTTTAATAGTTTTCTAGATCACTGTAATACACAGCCAGGGAATGAAAATTTTGAAATGAAATTTAATAACTGTTAGAAAAATATTAGAAATTACCATCTTTAGAAAGTCTTAATTTAAAAAATTCCTTATTCTATATATTTGCATTTTTGTTTTAATTCCATATTGCATAGTACATTGACTTAATGTGAGCCATTTAAAAAAGAAATGAGACATGTAAAGTGAACTTTCCAGTCTTAATTGTAACAAAACTTAAACTTAATGAACTTAATTTTTAATAATTATGGAAAATAATTAGATAATATTTTTCTAAAAGTATTATTTAGTTTCTTATATCCAATTCCATTACAGCAATTACATAATTTTGGCAAATTACATTATCTCAATTAAAAAACAAACTGGGCTATTTAAGTCAAAATGTTGAAATAATACATTAAGGGAAATCTTTGGCTTCAAATAAAGAGGGCCAGAATGAAAGCATATGAATTAACTCTGCATTTTTACAATAATAGGAAAGATAGGTTAAAAAAAAAAAGGTAGATTTTTCTTTTCATAAAGATTTTTCAGTTTGAATGATGACTTTTCTTCCTTTGATATACCTTATTATTAAAGAATCTAGGTTTCCTCTTTTGATTGCCAGATCCAGATGATTTTAAAAATAATTATGTCTTACAGAAATAGGTCTGTATTAACAGTAGTATAATCTTCAAAAAGATCCGGCAGTCCTTTTGAAGATTTTTTAATCTCAGTCACCCATCCTGAGAACCTTCTAGTGCAAACACAGTCATATTTCTTTGCATAGGTTTTGGATACTCTTTTAAACATGCTCATATTTGATTTGTTTTCTCATGGCTATTGATTTAGCATTCTAAAATCACTGAGCAGTTTCAACTGCATCAAAGACTATCATTTTACTGCTCAGTAATTCATCTTTTGAAATCGTGCAAAAGAGACCTGATTTAGAACTTATTCCAATAGGTGGACACCAATTAATTCTTCAATGTTAGTAAGACCTAAATTTATGATAGAAACAAAATAAAAAATATTTTTCTGTAAAATCATTTACATTAAAAACTTTACAAATATGTACTTCCAAAATATACATATATCTATGAATATAAAACATATACCACAAATTTCTTGAAGTCATAATAAGATTTCAAAAATATTTCAATTGTATTTTATAAACCTGGGAATAATCATGCTCAAAAACATTCAGAGGTAAAGCTAATACATTTAACAGAAGACAAGATATACGTAGGTAGCTAGGTGATATAGCACATGAATATGTAGGCTAATATAGGCCCTTAATTATTTTTGTCCTGTGAATCTTAAAATGATTAATCCTGAACTATCCCATCTTAATATTGATGTGAAAACCTAGGCCATGCCACGTGGCCTGTTGAATCACTGCCCTTCTTCCCTGTTGCCATAGCACCCAGGCATAAGTAGCATATTCAGAACTTTTGTAAAGATAATTCAATGTTATTGGGCAGAACTCCTTGAAGACAACTTATAATTTTTATAATGGAATTAAATAACCCATTCATGCATTCACTGTTTATAAATTTTCTTCTCTACTGTAGGTATTATGCTAGGTATTGAAGATCAAAACTCACTACCACCCAGCTTCTTTTCTTTGGACATTCCAACTCCATAAACAAGGATGTTGAGTAGTAAATTCTGGGGAACTCTGACTCCAACACTGTAACTTTCTTGCTCTGTATAATAATTACTTTACACAGCATAAGTTAGAGTCTAGAAATCCTTGGATTTTGGATGAATGAGAAAGTTCTGACATTGCAGTTTAATTTGGAGTTGGTCATATTTGGTACTAATGAACCCTTTCCTTAAAAAAAAAAAAAAAAAAAAAAGATGTTGAGGAAACTTGGATAAATCCAATCCCTTAAGTAAGGCCAGACAAGAATATTGATTTTAAAAATCAACGTGAAGAAAATATAATAGATTATTCTATTGAAGCCAGGAGTGAAATTAGTAGTGTAAATGCAATTCCTCTACAACTGCTGCAGATGGGTCACAAATATGACTCATCAGATTCTTTGCAGCCAAAACAAATAGAGAAATATGATCAGTTACAATTTTATATTTTCCACTATAGCTTTCTCTGGCACTGAGCCCTGAAAGAAATTTCTCCCATGGGTCCTTGTATAAAGAGGGCACTGTGTGGTATATTATTTCAGACACTATATCCTGGGAAGTGCAGCAGTGGTTTTCCTATGGCTACTTCCTAGGGAATCCTTCATTTAAATCAAGGGCACAATGCCAGAGCTCAGTTCAGCAGCAGATTAACTGAGAGACAAAAATCCAAAGATCCAAAAATGCAGATAGCTCTTTGATGGTTTACCTTGTTTGAGAGATAAAATTTGGAATACCTAGAATGATAGGTAATTTTGCTTAGAAGGAATTCTGAATAAATGTATTTATTAATTCAGTTCTTGATGAACATTTGACAACAAAATGTTTGGAGTTATATTTTGTACCAAAAATCTCTAGTAAAATATTCTTTGTTGCTGATTAGAGATAGAATTATGTGATTTAGATAGCCAACTAAGCAGAAGGTAAAATAAAACACATCTGAACATTAAGTGGTCTAAACCAGGATGTTTACTAGAAAAAATGCAAAGAGGTTACTCAGTAAGTACCAACAGAATATCCAGAATCTCACTCATAAAAAATTGAATGGTGAATCACTTTCAAATTGAAAATATTATACCAAAGGATATGACTAGGATAGTTTTTATCTGATTATTTTCCAATATATTTAAAGCTAGTCATCCACAATAGCCCTCAAAGGGAGAAAAAAATCTGAAAACTTTATCCCTGAAACTTCTAATTTTATTTTTTATGTTTATTCTGGGAGGGGGGGGCAAGATGGCGGAGAAGTAAGGAGCTCCATACTTGCACTTAAGTTTATTCTGAACCTTCTAGACTTGTATTTAGTAAAACATACCAATAAGTCAATAAATAGTGGACATATTATATAGGTTTGTAATATTATTTCTACCAGATTAAAATTGGTCTGATAAATCATTTCTACTCTCTAGGTTGGAACTATTTGTAATTGGGATTCAATGCACTAGAACTCATGTGATTTTCTCCAGGTGTCCCTTTTCCTTTTTTTGTTATTTTGGGTTTTTTTTGTTTATTTGTTTTGTTTTTACTTTTTTAATTTTTTTAAATAGGGAAGGGATTTTGTGTGTGTGTTGTTTGTGATTTGTTCCCTGTTTTCTCTGAAGAAGATTCCAGAAGCAATTTGTTATTTGCCTGAGTATATGCCCACATGTGCATTTCCACAAGGAGTTGAGGGTCTTAGAGGACCTGCATGGAGCAAAAGAGTTACTGCTATCATATGGACCCTGAGCCTACTGAAGAGCATGCTAGTAATGATATAGATGTGCACTAAGAGCTCTTGGCAACCAAAATATACATATCCTGAGACCTTCGAGAACCACGAATACTACTACAACATATGAAATTGTCCATAAAATACAATAAAGCTATCCTATCGTGATTCACTGTGATGCAGGAAAAATGATCTTAACCCATTGGCTTGGTTTCCTTATTAGATTGTCTATCTCCCCATGACAGTCAAATTAGCCCAACTCAATTCCATGCTTCAGTGACATTATTAATTTTTGAAGTTCTTCTACTTTCGTTTCACATGAAAAGAGTTGAAACCAATGATTTGAGTCTATAACTGCCTACAGTAAATTTTCCTGAAAGTAGAAAAGTAATTAAAAATTTCACCAATGATACTAGTTTCCCAAAATAGTATTATATGTTAAAATTTTCTGAGCAAAGTGGTATAATGAAGAAGGCAAGCACTGAGTTTGGAAACAGAAACTTTCTTAAAATTTCTGTAATGTACACTTACTATCTATGGATTCCTATAGATTTCTTAACTACTCTAGGTATTATTTTTCTTATTCATGAAATGGGACAGTCATTGCTTTCAGTGTCACAAGATTGTTGTGACAATCAACAGAGATAACTATTAAGTGCCTATAAAAATATATTGTTCCACAGATAGTTGAAACAGTATATTTCCCTATTAGCTAGATCTTATATTTAAAGACAGAAGTCTAAGCTTGCAACTTATTTTTCCACCCTCAAATCTAGTGCTAGGTGAACATTACTATTTAAGTGGCTACTGTTATGTTCAAGTTGTATAATTTAATTACAGGTCTATCGATAGACTATGTGGAAAACAAGCTTTATTGGATCAGTTCGGGAAATGGAACCATAAATAGATGCAACCTGGATGGTGGTAATTTAGAAGTAATAGAGTCAATGAAAGAAGAATTAACAAAAGCTACAGCCCTAACCATCATGGGTAAGTGCAATGGTTCTATAGCTAGGATGCTTTGTATTGATTGGAGGTTGATTAATTATGACTGTTAAAAGCTTAGAAAAGTTACTGCTCCATTAATACCCGAGGCACATTCAAAGTTACACATCTCTGTGAGAGTTTTTGTTTTGTTTTGTTTTTCTTTTTTTTAACTTTGCAAACAGACTTGTAAGATTATCCAGATCAGGGACTTTGTGCTGTTAGCAGTACAGACTTTACCATTATTGATTCTGGGCTGTGACTTATATTATTTTATGATTATTGTCTTTGTTCTCTTGCAGTGTTCTAAAGTGTAAGGAGCTTGTATATTTGTCACAACATGTCAAATTTGGCTTATCTCTGCTTTTAAAGGATAGCTTGATCCACACGGATAATTCAAAAAACAAGGCCACAGAGCCCATTGGCCAAAGATTGAAATTCTTTGAAAGATTCAAATAATTCTTTCTTATTTTTAGGGATGAGTTAGAGATCTTACAGCTTTGAGCCTCATTTCCATTCTTTTTGGTTCAGCCTTTGGGAAAAAAACATGCTAGACCAGTAAACCAATTAGGAAGCTAACAGGAAGGTATGGCTTTTCATAGAACAAATAATCAACTTCTATTTATATTGATATTGGAAGTTGATTTTTGAAATGTGAACTTAAATAATTCAAATTTTTAAAAAGGTATGACAGTAGATACCATAAAAAAAGTGCCTTTTGGCTGTGCCTTTACTTAGTGAATAGGTGGCTCTAAACCCAAGTTCAGGGAAGGTCCGGATTAGAGGATTAGATATTCCACATAGAATCTTAGTACTTATGTTTGGTTATAGGAAATTAGAAAACTGATTTCATATTTGCAACTCTAAATATGATGTATTCAGGATAGCATATATACATATAGTATGTATATGTGTGTGTATGTACATGTATATACATGTATATACACATATATTGTGTATATACATATATACATGTATATATATTAAAAGCCATTCGGAACATATATCTAAAAGGTCATTTATATGGGTAATAAATCAAGTCTTTTAAATATATATTCTATGATCTTTACCTCTTTTATCCTTTCCCAGATTTAATGTTAATTATTTTTGGTTTTATTTTCACTAATGATTGTCAGTGAGTATATAAAGTTTAAAAGTACATAGTTGCTAATTGAGAAAGATATGATAATCCATTTTCTACAAAACAAAGTGGTTTATCACCTTGACTTCAATTAGATTTAAAATATCTTAAAGTAAATAAGGTTTAGATTTGCAAATTAATATTTAAAACAGGATGAGCGTGGGATGTAAGAAAAACATTTTAAAATCAGTTCAAATCAACATGTATTTAGAATCTTTTAAGTACAGACAGTATACTTGTCTCTGAAGTATAAATATAAACATGGACACTCTTCTCAAACAAAAATACATTTCTGTGAAGGAGAGAGAGAAAAGAGGATTGTTTCAACCAATCATTAATCACAAAGAATGATTTCAATTTTGGTAGCTGAGAAATGCAGATAATAAATATATTTGCCTTTATCACAAAGATGTGAGAATCACATGGAAATGTATGTGAATGCACTTTTGAAAAAGTAGAGTTTTATACAAAATTCAAAGGTGGAATCTGGCATTGCTTAATTTGATCTTTAAAACACTCATTAATTTTACCTTCTTAGGCATTCGCAGATATTTGATATAGTGTGGAATCAGACATTTAGTAGCTTTCTTGTGCTGTAGTTTTATTACTGAATTGTTGTCTTCCTGCTATCACTGTCATCATTGTTTCTAATTGTTTCTTAGAATTAGTTTTTCTTTTTATTTATTTATTTATTTATTTATTTTAATGTTTATTTATTTTTGAGAGAGAGAGAGAGAGTAGAGGAGGGGCAGAGAGAGACGGAGACACAGAATCTGAAGAAGGTCCAGGGCTCAAACCCACAAGCAGTGAGATCATGACCAGAGCTGAAGTTGTATGCTTAACCAACTGAGCCACCCAGGTGTCCAGTTTTTCTGTTTAAAAGAGTTTTTCACTAGAAGAGGAATTTAAACTTGTAAAAAAATATTTTATTTTTAAATTTTCCAATTGTCTTTCTAGCCTTTGGACAGTTTCTGTACTGTTTGTAGAAAATGATGTTGTCCTTCTTTTTGTTGTGTGTGTTCAGAAGTTACACACACACACACGCACACACACACACACACACACACACAGACTGTACCTAACAAGTAGATTATTTTAAAGCAGAAATTTGTTTATAATATTCTCATAAAGCAATAAGGAAATGAGGTTACTTTATATTATTCAGCTTTGCCAAATTAATAAGAAAATTTTGTTTTATGTATATTTGTACATATTTTAAATCACTTGAGTAAAAATAGCAGAGTTTAAATTCTGCAGCAGTCGCCAAATCACCACACATACTATGTTTTTAAGAACTGAATTCCAAAATACCTTATGAAATCAACCCTAATTAGCAAATAATGTAGCCAAGGAACACAGTAAATTAGAGGAAAATTGTTAAAATATATTATAACATTTCAAAGAATGTTTTTGACTTCTTAGTGAATATATATATATATATATATATATACATGTATTATAAAAATAATTTCCTCCTAGAAAATGGAACGCTTTATAAAAGTTTCTTTCTGCTAACATGATTGGTACCTAACCTGCTGTTAGAAAATGAGTACTAAACTTAACAGATCTCAATGCTATGAACAAAGTGTGAAAAACAGAGTAGTAGTCCCTTGGGGCAAAAGAAAATAAAGATTTGTTTCTTGGTAAAATAGAAGAGAGAAGGTTTGGGGAAATTATAATGCCTTTGTTTTGTCAGCACTGTGAAACTGATATGTTGTGTCAGCACTGCATGGGAACCCAACCTTGCATAAATTAAAAGTCTTTTAAAAGTGAACAGCCATGTATATATACCCCTCCCTGCATCATAATTTCATTAAATCTTAAACTGAAAAAGAAACATAACTAAAAATATCAATGCCTCTATGTTCGACAACGTATTTGATGGATATATCAAAATACATCATTAGTTTAGAGGTTTAAAACGTAAAGTGCAATAACTTAGAGAAGTAGCCTAGGGACATCTATTTTACAAAGTTACTTAGTTTGGCTCTGAACTTGCACTGCTGTTCAGATACTCCCTTCCTTGAGAACTCTCCTCTTTCTCTTTGGGGATGGAATAAAGAGTGATGACCTGTTTCCTGCTGAGGCTGAGTATTATAATCATATAAAAAAGGCAATATAAAAATAAAACAGAAGAGCTTTACAACTTACTATCCAGGGGATTACTGATGATTATAGCTACAAATGTTTAAGAAGATATTTGCCTACAGTAATACTGAAATTACACATCTGGAAAACAAGGAATTCATTGTGCAATGAAGCTACCAGTTATATACCAGGATATACCAACCCCTAGACATACTACCTAAGCAATGGATGATAACTAACTGAAAGTTTGTGCTTCACTTAAATTTAGAGGTGGTTTTCCTGAAGTTGAATAAAAAATCTCAGACACGTCTTATCATTTTTTCAAACCTCAAAGATTGTAGATTGTAACTAGAGTTCCCCGCTTTACTTGGAATAATATATACAAAATAAATGAAGAGAGCTTTGAAATATTAAAGTCAGGTAAATGAGAAGGTATGTGGTAATACCTAGGTTAAAATAAAGCAATTGTTTAATGATTGAACCAAGTCCAGGACCCCAAGACCAAGATTGCTATATCCAAGTTTCACAAACACTTTTGATACTTCTTATAAGAAGTAGAGCTTAACTTCCTTCCCCTTGAATCCTTCCTGGACCTAGTGACTCATTCTCATGAATAAAGTAAGACAAATGTGATGGTGTATAACTTCAGAGATAAGGTCATAAAAGGCATGAGCCTTCCTCCTTGTCTTTCCCTCCTTGGATGGTTAACTCATGGGGAAGCCAGATGGCATGTTATAAAGTCATCCACATAGCCCAATGGGAAAATCCATACAGCAAGGGACTGAGACCTTCAACCAACAGCCACATGAGTGAGTCACTTTGAAAGTAAAAACTTCATTCAACTCAGCCAAGTTTTCAAAAGACTGTAGCCCAAGCCAATGCACTACAGCAACCTTAAGAAAGGACCCTAAGCCAGAACCACCCATATACCTGCTCCCAAATTCCTGACCCACAAACACTTTGTGACACAGGAAATATTTATTGTTTTAAGATACTAAGTTTTGGGAGTACGTATTACAATAGCAAAAGATAAGTAATTGGTATGTCATTCCCTTCACAGAGCTCATTCATAAATTTATAAAATCAAATATGTATTTAATAGAGTCAGAATAGTGAATAGTAAAGCGTGCCAGGTATAATAAAACATAATATCATTTGTACAATGACTATTCAGGTGAGGTCTCTTAACATATTTTGCCATGAACTGAATGTCTGTGTTCCCACAAATTCATATGTTGAAGCTCTAATTTGATGGTATTAGGAAGTAGAGACTTGGGGGAAGTAATTAAGTCTTGGTGATGGAGTCCCATGAGATTGGTGTTCTTCTAAGAAGAAACCAGAGAGCTAACATCTCTCTCAGTTATATGAGGAGATAGCAAGAAGATGCTGGCTGGCATATTAATCCTGGGCTTCTAGCATCCAGAACTGTAAGAAATATATTTCTATGCTTTATGCCATCCAACTATGATGTTGCTATTATAACATTCCAAATTAGCCAAGAGAACTTTCCAGGTACTAGATCTATGCTGACTGGCCTAGTAACTTTGAACATCAAATTCTTTCCCATTAAAAAACCTATAATAATGACCCTGTCAATTGTCTTTCACACACTGTCAGAGCCAACAAAAACAATAGTTTCTGCTTTCAAATACAGTATCAGGTAGCTCTAAAATTATATCTATTATTTATTTGTCTTAGATATTTTTCTCAGTATTTAGCCATTCTTTTTATGGGAATTTTCTTTCATAAATATACATGAAATAATGAAACTCTAGAA